TGGTTGGCCCAAAGTCACCCAGCTGGCCTTCATGCCTAAGGCGGGACTAGAACTCATCGTCTCCCTGTGATTGGCCCAAAGTCACTCAGCTGGCTTTCATGCTTAAGGCGGGACTAGAACTCACAGTTTTCTAGTGATTGGCCCAAAGTCACCCAGCCGGCTTTCACTGTTTCACACCTAGGACGGTACTAGAACTCACTATCTCCTGCTTTCTAGCTTGGCGCCTGGAACCAAGAGACCAACCTTTAGTGTGAAGTGTGTTATTTCACACACACACACACACACACACCAACGTTACTAGAAATCCTTATTTTATGTGGCTGAAGTTATCCATCTTATACATCGTATTTTTGGTCAATATCTTATTAAAGTAGAGAATGAAAAAAATGATTTAGAGCAAGGAGCAGCTAACATTGCCAACATTTTTTTTTAAAAAAAGTGAAATTATGGAGGGTTACAAAATCCTACGCTAAGCAGAACATGGGATGGGAAGGCCACACTTAAGCAACTACAATGGCATGCGAGCAACACCCTTGAAAGACAGGCCAAGAAAGGCAACAGTCAGATAAGGGAGCTCGTAGCCCTCGGCTGTACAATGGATGGAAAAAGAAAGGAAATTTTCTAATTCTCCGTCTGCAAAAGAGACGGTGGGAGGTTTGTATTTTCAGACCTGCAAGATGGATAATCAGCCTTCCCAGGTAGATTAAGACCAAACATAACCAGATGAGTTAATTCCACTTTATTGTAAGGCTACGTTAACAGATAATGGGATGCTGTGGCTGAGTGGCTAAGACGCTGAGCTTGTCGATCAGAAAGGTCCGCAGTTCGGCGGTTCGAATCCCCAGCGCCACGTAAGGGAGTGAGCTTTCGTTCCTTGTCCCAGCTTCGGCCAACCTAGCAGTTCGAAAGCACGTAAAAATGCGAGTAGAAAAATAGGGACCACCTTTGGCGGGAAGGTAACAGCGTTCCGTGCGCCTTCGGCGTTGAGTCATGCCGGCCACATGACCACGGAGACGTCTCCGGACAGCGCTGGCTCTTCTTCGGCTTTGCAATGGAGAGGAGCAGCGCCCCCTAGAGCCGGAAACAGTGAGCGTGTATGTGCAAAGGGGCACCTTTACCTATTTTAACAGTCTTGCGAGTCTTAGAAAAATTAAGTGATTTCATTTTGCTTTCTTTTTGTTGTTCCCTGTTCAGCCAGTTTCCCGAGTTTGACTACTTTAAGGTGCCTGGACTTCGACTCTCAGAATTGGCGGGGAGAGTTCTGGGAGTCGAAGTCCAAACCTCTTAAGCCAAAGACGGGAAAAACACTGCAAAAAAAAGAAAAAGAAAAGGCTAGGCAGGATTTTCAATTTTCTCCTTTTTCCTTCTCTCACCTTGCATGGGGTTTTTTTCAGGTGTCTTTGGAGAGTGTGACACAGAAGCGGATGTCCTCTACTGGGCGCGACACAACAGTTTTTTGCTGTACCAAATGGGGACGTTCACGGCGTTTCTGGAACTGCTCAACATGGAAGTGGCGTAAGTGACATTTTGGCCACGTTTGTCTTCCGGCGTGGCCTGATGCTGAATTGACTCCAACAAAACGACAAGATTTAAAAATAAAAATAAAAAAGCTTGTATTTCATAAAAACGTCAACGCTGATCTGGAGAACGTATCGCCAATCTCGTTGGGGTGAATGGATTGATTTAGGGGAGAGGCTCAAATAATAGAAACACGCCATTTTTCTAACCTCTACCTTGTTCTGACCCGGGCTTCGTAAACCATCATTATTTACAAATTTGTTTTAAAAAGAAAACCTATTTTATTGCAACGCTGGGAATTGCTTTCATTCCTAATTCAGCTGGTCATTTGCATCCTTTTTAGAGGGTCGTTGAGGCCACTTGGAGGTTTCTTTGTGTCTTCAGGGTCATACCTGAGTGGTGCAAATGGGTGTGGAGCCTTCTGACTGGATGGTGGGGAATGGAAGGATTGATACTCCTTGCAGACAGCTGGTCATTTGCATCCTTTTTAGAGAGACGTTGAGGCCCCTTGGAGGTTTATCTCTGTCCTCAAGTCCATCTGAGTAGTGCCAATGAATATGGAGCCTTTTTTGAATTGCACAGTCCTTTTATTCCACACCCATTTGCACCACTCAGGTGACCCTGAAGACGCAGACAAACCTCCAAGTGGCCTCAACAGCTCTCTGAAAGGATGCAAATGACCAGCTGTCTGCAAGGAGTATCAATCCTTCCATTCCCCAGAAAATGTTTCGCTTCTCATTCAAAAAGCTTCCTCAGCTCTGACTGAACTCCCCCCCCCCATCTGATATTTGCAAAATAAAGAGATCCACAACTTCTGACTGTTTTGCCCTGTTTTATTTTAGCAACACCGAGGCACGTAGCAGCGCCTTAAGAAAGCCGGCGATCTCTTTAGCAGACAGCACCGAACTCAGGTGAGTTAGTCCGAGTGTGATTCTTTCCTTCACTGGTAGTCCTCGATTTACGACCACGGTGGAGGCCGTCCCCCCAAAAAAATTTCCATTGATGAGCAAGGCCGTTGTTAAGCAAGTTCTTCAATAAAAATACAAGTAGTTCTTTGACATATTACGACAGTGGAGGCTAAAATTTCCATTGCTAAGCGAGGCAGTTGTTAAGTGAGTTTGGCTGTATTTTACAAACTTTCTGGCCACTGTTGTAAAGTGAATCAGTTAGCAACAAGGTCGTTAAGCGAATCCGGCTTCCCCATAGACTTTGCTTGTCAGAAGGTGCCTAAAGGGGGACCACATTTTCCTGGGGGGACATTGAAACCGTCATAACTGCGAGTCAGTTGCCAAGCGGCTGAATTTCGATCACGGGACCCCCGGGGGATGTTACAATGGTCGTAAGGGTGAAACACAGCCTTAAGTCCCTTTTTTTCCAGCACCGTTGTAACTTCAGACAGAACCGTTATAAGTCAGGAACTAACAGCACCTTTTGGGGGGAATTTGTTTCCAGGGTGATTTTGAGCGTCATGTACCTGATGGTGGAAAACGTCCGGCTGGAAATGGAGACCGACCCTCCAAAGTGGACGGCGTCCCGAGATATGTTCAGGGCTGAGCTGAGTAGGTTACGGCAACACCAAAAAACAACACACACACAAACACACTATGTCTCTAAAATGGCCAAGGTGGTGTCCTTGCTCTGTTTAGATTCAATTTTTGCTTTTTTTAAAAGTTCTGGGAATTACAAGGAAAAGATGTCTGGTCTGGTCCAGCATAGAATTTATTTTCAAATAATACCCCGTTTCCCTGAAAATACAACCAACCCTGAAAGTAAGTCCTAGCTTCCAATATAAGCCCTACCTCCCAAAAATAAGCCCTAATTAAGATCCCACCCACTCCAGAGTGGGCAGGTAAAAATTAAGCCCGGGTGGTGATGGGGTGGTGGTGGAGCTGCCCTACTACTTACCTTTGGACAGGTAAGTCCTCGCACCCTGCGACACCTGCCTGGCCGGCCCATTTCTTCTGCAGCCATTAAGGCTGGCAAGGTTTTCCTGAAGGCCTCTGGAGCTGGTAACAAAGCTCTGGATCGATCCTGAAGGCTGCAGGGGCCTTCAGGAAAGCCTTGCCGGCCGCAGAAGAAGGAAGTTCCTGAAGGCCTCTGACCGCGAAAAGGAGGCCGGGGACGATGCGCTCAAGTGAGGTTAGTCGGTGGAGGATGTCCCACGAAAATAAAACCTGGTGCCATTTTTGGTGGCAACAAATAAATAAATAAAACGGTCTTAGTTTGGGGGAAACTTGGTATTTATGTGCTTCTCTCTCTCTCTCCTGTCTCTTTCTCTTCTATCTTTCGCTCTCTTCTTTCTCCTCTCTTTCTCTTCTTTGTCTTCTCTCTTTCTCCTCTCTTTCTTTTTTCTCTTCTCTCTCTCCTCTATCTTCTATCTCTCCCTTCTTTCTCTTTTCTCTCTTTCTCTTTCTCTTATGTCTTTCTTCTCTCCTCTCTTTCTCTCTCTCTCTTCTTTCTCTTTCTCCTCTCTTTCTCTTTCTTTTTCTCTTTCTTCTCTCTTTCCTCTATCTTCTCTCCTCTCTTCTCTCTTTCTCTTCTTTCTCTTTCTCTTCTTTCTCTTTCTCTTCTCTTTCTCCTCTCTCTTTCTCTCCTCTCTTTTCTCTCTCTCTTCTATCTTTCTCTTCTTTGTCTTCTCTCTTTCTCTTTCTCCTCTCTTTTTCTCTTTCTTCTCTCTTTCTTCTATCTTCTCTCTCTCTTTCTTCTCTCCTCTCTCTTCTCGTTCTTTCTCTTCTTTCTCTTTCTCTCCTCTCTCTTCTCTCTCTCCTCTCTTTTCTCTCTCCTCTCTTTCTCTTCTTTGTCTTCTCTCATTCTCTTTCTCCTCTCTTTCTCTTTCATTTTCTCTCTCTCTCTTTCTTCTTTCTCTTTCTCTTCTCTCCTCTCTTTCCCTTCTCTCTCCTCTCTTTTCTCTCTCTCCTCTTTCTCCTCTCTTTCTCTTCTTTGTCTTCTCTCTTTCTCTTTCTCCTCTCTTTCTTTTTCTTTTTCTCTTTCTTCTCTCTCTCCTCTCTCCTCTTCTTTCTTCTCTCTCCTCTCTCTCCTCTCTCTCTCTCTTCTTTCTCTTTCCTTTCTCCTCTCTCTTTCTCTTCTCTCTCTCTCTCTCCTCTCTTCTTTCTCCTTTCTCTCTCTCTCCTCTTTTCTCTGTCTCTTCTCCCACTTTCTATCTTTCTCTCCTCTCTCTCTTCTCTTTCTCTTCTCTTTTTTCTCTCTCTGTCTCTCTCACACACATACACACACTCCCTCTTTGTTCTTAGCCCTTTGCAACCTCCGCTGGCACATGCAATAATTGGGAATCGCTCTCTTTCGATGGACACCCCCCCCCCCAAATAATTCTGCTTCATTTTTTTTTTAAAAAAACCTCTGGGTTGCTCTTAGGTAGACCCAGAGCTGGGATTAGCCAGGCTGAGGATGACCCACCCACCCCCCTCCCAGCTCAGCTTCTCTTCCTATTCCCCCACCCCTCCCGACTTATCCGATCCACAGGTTATCCGATCCACAGCGAAGAACCCTTTGGGCTCCTGTTGTTTACGATGGTGACCAAATTCTGCAGCGAGCATTCTCCACATTTCCCCATGAAGAAAGTCCTGCTTCTACTCTGGAAGGTCCTTGTGGTATGTGATCTTCTCTCTCTCTTTCCCTGGGGAGGCTATGGTGGGACAGAGGGGACCGCAGAGCCGACGTTTCAGGACCCAACGAGGGAACATCATCAGTGGTAGATGAGGAGGAGGCTGAGGAGGAGGAGGAGGAGGAGGAGGAGGACTGTAGGGTCCTCTATGAACTTGGGTTTTTTGCAGACGTTTTATGATCCAACTAGGGAACATCAGTGCCAAAAAAAGGAGATAGGGGTTTGCTCTCGGTTTATGTACAAGTGCCGTGCCCTGCCAGTGTGGATGAGGGTGTTGTTTTCCTGTCAGTAGTTTAACAGAGCGCGTCGGAGGCAGAGATGGGGCCAGGGCCATCCCACAGTTATCAGCTGCCTTCAGAGTTGGAGATCAGTGAGGCAGAAGAACAGCTGGAGCCTGTTCCCAGTGTGCACATGCACAGAGCTGCCAGAAGAAGGGAACAGCTGAGGAACAAGGGTTGACTTGGGAGTGAAAGCACAGGTGGACGGGGGAATGGCCTCTCTGATAGGGATTAAAAAAGGAGCAAAAGGGAAGTGGGGTTTGCAGGAGACAATTAGTTCGTTTAATTAGTGTCAAGATCTGTTCCTGACTCCTTGCCAAGTCATTGCTGCTACAGTGTGGCGTTTGGAAGCTATTGATCTGGCATCTCTCCCAGTCTGATAAAAGGTCTGTCGTTGTGCAATCTCTTGAAAGACTTGTTGGCCAGGACTTTGCTGGAGAGGCATTCCCTTGAACCTAAATAAAAGGGGTTTTTATCGAGACGAGGAGTCGGCTTCGTGTTTTTGGGGAAAGCCTAGGTCAGAACACTGCCTTCCAGCACTGATGATGTTCCCTAGTTGGATCATGAAACATCTGCAAGAAGATAGTCAAATTCAGAGAGCGCCAAGGACCCCTGAGCTACAGAGAGTTGCTGGTGTCTACATCACTTCCCTTTTGCAGTTCACGCTGGGTGGCTTCGATACCCTTCAAGCGACGAAGGTGAAGAAGCGCGAGGATCTGGGCCTGCCGCCACTGCCTGAAGACAGCATCCAGGTCATGCGTAACATGCGGGCAGCCTCCCCTCCCACCTACACCGCCGAGTTGGGGGAGCAGCTGCAGCCCCCGGTGCAGAAACGTGGACATCGGAGTCGAAGGGTAGGAGACATTTTTTGCTTTCTCTGGAGTCAGAAATGCAGGAAACCCTACATTTTCCTTCCCTCCCTGTTTTGATTGACAAGCCGACTTCCTGATCCACCTGGCTTTGCAGGCGTGGGACAATCATGATTGGCTATCATTAAAAATTGGGGGTCAGTTTTAGACGAGGGCTGAGACGGGTGTGGTTTTTTATCCGCCGTGAAGATTGCAAGGGTATGTCTCCAAGGGTCTCCCCTTGCAGGGCCTGGGAGTTTTATGCTGTCAAGACAGTCTTGTCTGTCCCGTTCTTTCCATGTACACAAGCTGCAGTTTGGCCTGGTGGTTAAAGCACCAGGTTAGAAAGCAGGAGATGGTGAGTTCTAGTCCCGTCTTAGCAATGAGAGCCAACTAGATGACTTTGGGCCAATCACCAGGAGACGGTGAGTTCTAGTCCCGCCATAGGCCTGAAAGACAACTGGGTGACTTTGGACCAATCACCAGGAGACGGTGAGTTCTAGTCCCGCCTTAGGTATGAAAGCCAGCTGGCTGACTTTGGGCCAATCACCAGGAGACAAGGAGTTCTAGTCCCGCCTTAGGCATGAAAGCCAGCTGGGTGACTTTGAGCCAATCACCAGGAGACGG